CGCGATGAACAATCGCGGAACTGCGGAGTAGAAAAAAAATAAAGATCCACTCACGAAATATTGTCTGATCATGGAGCATCGTTCTTTGGAAATTCCGCAGATTTTACACAAGTTCTTTCATTAAAAATACATTCACGAGGTTGCCCCAAAACCACAAAATGCAGGTACAAAAAAAATAAACAAGGAAGCATTGAACAAATATATACAGTATTAACCTAGCATTTCTCAATTTCCGAGGCTCATGACTAAAGTATTTCATTTCAACGCAACCAATTTAAATTTAACCCCACTCGAAGAAACGCAAATTTAATTGTTGAGCTTTTACCATTTCTAAAGACTTGTTTTTTTTTTTTAGATTGTGCTCGATATCATGGGATGAACTCAAAATAAAAAAAGATTAAATCTTCTTAGAATGATTAGACGAATTTGAATAAGAATCTTCAACATTCAGTAAATTGATTTAAATTCTGGTGACCACCGCTTTTCATTATATTAGTGAATGTTTTCAAAACTTGAGAAATTCCCATTGGGAGAAGATTACAGCTATGAAATTCGTACAGATTTTTCGACAACAGTTTCCCTTTTTATGCCAAATAATGATTCCCACAGCTTCTCGTCTTTGGCCAAACTCACAGTTACCACGGTACTGCACACACATTCAAAAACCTTTAATCAATATTCTCTGATGCTCATGTGGCATCGCCAGGCACAATATTAAGCAGAAAACATTAAAAAAAAAATCTCGTTACAAAGAAATCAATGGGGCCTGTAGAATAGCTTCGTCATGACGAAAAACTCTACAAAAACATCGTGAATATTACGGAGGGACCTAGAAACGAATTCCTCGTGCCATTTACCACAATTCGTTTCAGAGGGATTTTTTTCACGCGTTTCTCCACAACTGCATTATGGCAACACTTCACGACGGACCCATGAAATAATTTCGCATGCAATTGCTTACAATCAACCGACAGCTCCACAAATGCAGAAATTCGCCATTCAACGCGCAAAAAAAAGTTTCCCAGTAAAATCACATCAGCTCTTCTGCAGTTTATAAAACAAAACATGAAACTTGGTATTTTAAAATCCGGAAAATGAAATTTCCAAGATATTCCCAGGAGCAGTGAACCAGTACTGCGATTTCTTCATCGCATGCACATCAAAGCTCTCACTACAGTCCAACAATAACGAACCGGAATTCCTTGGGGATTTAAAATCATCTTCATTTGAAAGACGAGAGAAGGGTTTGGGCGCAGATAAATAAGAGAAAAAAAAAGGTTCTAAAAAAAATTGAGAGGAAGCATTTCATGATTCGAAGTCAGGAACTTTCACCGCACCCGAAAATGCAATCAAGATAGAATCCGCCATAAATTCCCCCCCAGACAGAAATTACTTTGGAGAGAAATGAAACTTCTCTTCTTTTCCATCATCTCGTTGTAGGTCAACAGTTTCGGAACTTGATTTCCTCCTCCTCCCCCCGGTTCTCCGAAAATATACACGTTACTTTTGTAACATTAATACGCTGGATAACATCTTGAGTGGAATATTTGGGATACGACGAAAAAGTTTCTCGCCTCAGCTTCAATGCAATTATTGCCGAATATCTTTGGAATGTTATTTCCAAAAATCTTCCGTCCATTTTCTGCATTCTTTTTTTAAATACAGAATTTTCATTTCATTCGTGCAATATTCTGGGTGAAAGTCACCGGTCGGGAAATTCGAATTTTTTTCAAGAAACAACAAGCAATATCGCGGAATTTTCTTTTTAATTTCCCTTAGTCAATCTAACCTTTTTTACATTTATACTTTGCCTACGGCGGATTTATATGATATAAAATATTTTTAAAAATTCAATCCTCAAGGGTTGAACGGGCCAAACTTTTTCGGGAATGTCAGTTGTACTGTTTTTTACAAGCACGAGTATATTCTCAACTTTTTGCTGTTGCTTCCTAGACAATGTAACTAAATTCTTAAAACACTTCTGGTGAAAAAAAAAATGTTTTCTTTGTCTTCCAGACGGAAAAAGCTAGGCTTAGCGCAATGGAAGCCGGATTTGATTTCCAAGAAGCATCAAGTATCATTCCGTGCCAGGGGTTCTTGACCGAGTTCTGGTTCACTCAAGAGGTCAAAAGTCCATGATTGTTATTTTATGCGAGCGATTTCAAAATTAAAATATGCAAGCTTCATTTGTCGGACAGTATACGAGGGCTGGTTGGGTTAAGACGACCTGAAAACCTCTTTAAAAAAATGATTTAAATTTTTTCGTTGCTCATGGATGACTTCCATTTATCTTTTGAACACTTTTTCAGCCTGTTTTCTCAAGATTTCAATTAATTTTTGGGCCCGTGACGCATGTAGGGATACCAACAGAAAATAAAAATTTAAAGGTATTGTAGATAGCCTAAATTCTTCTTACTACAACAGCTAATTTTTCAAAAAACAATTTTTTTTTTTCGAAAATGCAGTATCAAACAAAAAATATTGAAAATCAATTGGATTGCAATTACATTCGAGTAAAACTGACACACTTATTACTTCAATTTCTGAATGAATTTTCTCTCGAAATTTCCTGGCGATCTTGTATTTTCCCGGCAGCAAAGAAAAAATTGAAGAGGTAAAAAATAACAACAAATGTATGAATGCAATCCTCTAATCAAGGTCAGTAATACTGAAAAGGCCAACATAAAACTGCACACGTCATCTGAACCCATTTCGCAAGAAGTAAAGCGTGACTGTGCAAATGAGCGCCGGTCATTCGAGTGCCATTCCCCAACAGATCCATTAAATTGATTAAAGCATAACTTGCACAAAACAGGACCAATCGAACTCTAATTGAGGAATACAGTATCATCATTTTGATTTTGGCGAAATTGTGGAATTTCGAAGCCGTCGTAACGTCCGGTAGTTAGTTTTTTTTTTCAAAGGGGGAATTCGAAGATTTCCCAGTTCTTTTTTTTTATTTTGTGGCCCGGTTTTGTCCGGAGGTTTTTATGATTACATGAGATATTTTCCTCAAATAACAAGGGTTTTCGGTTTTTCGGTCCACAATTTCGCCAATCATGAGCTTTCTTTTAAAAGCAAACCACCTTCATATAAAACCATGAAATCGAGAAAATAATTAATTTTATCTCTTTCCTTCAGTTGTCCGGAAAAGAATCCAACAGTCGTTGTCCGAATTTCATTGCAAATGGTGTGCTGTATTTTCCCAAGTGATTATTGTTGCGTAAAATGTGGTGTAAATGCTTTTAGTTTAGTCTTCGGCAGGGCTAAGAATTTCCAAGAACAAACGCGTTTCAATTAAATCTCGGTGATGTTGAAATTCCTTCTATCGCGAATATTTTCATCAGAGCGAAATCGTTTCGAGATCCCCGGCCGAAACTTCTAAAGGCACAATGCTAAAAATCGTTGTTCGCCGGAAACTTGAACAATTATCCACTGTGATCTCTTCGAAACACTTGGAAAATCTAAAACTTTCGAAATGAAGGGTTTTGAGGATGAGAGAATCCACTTGACGTGTGGTTGCCCAAAAGTATGTTTGTTCTTGTCAATTCAAAGCCGTAGACGACTAAACTAAAAGCATTCACAGATTTTACGGGACCAAAAAAATATGATGGTTATTCCATCCTCAAAGGAAAAAAATTTCTTCGCTGTACATCAAACTTCCTCGAACATAGTCCACCTATATAATCCATATACCAGTATAACCAAGGTGGGAACCTCCTAGAAATAATAATCGAAAAATAAAAATAAAATCATCATAATGAAAAAGAAAAGAAAAAAATTAAAATAAAATAGACTGAAACTGAGCATTCTGGCGAAAACAGGAAGGCCTTCGACCAGGGCCTCCCCTACTTGATCCTACTAATGCCCACTTTGCATCAATTAGCCGCACGCAAGAAACCCGGCTCACGTTTCCCACCACCCATAATGATCACTTGCACCATCCAACAATAACACTCATTCATACGCGACGATATCATCCCACAATCGGCATTCTTTTCCGCGAACAAAAAATAAATAAATAAAATATCGGATGGAAAATACGCCTATTACGATTATTTCGCTCGATCGAATCGGGAGATATAAAGAAGAAAAAAAATGAATACCACGCAAACACTGTTTCCTTTAGCCACACAATCGTTGGTTTGTTCTTTATTCATAAAAAAAAAGGACCTCGGATTCGTCGATCAATTACATTTCCAAGGATATCCCGAAACTTGTGGACACATATAGCAACCACGAAAACCTTTCCCAGGATTTTCAGACACTCTTGTCAGGCCCAAAACGAACCGCAAGATTTACTTGAATTTGTTTCAAATTACGGAGTTCCCAAAGAAACATTTTCGTATTAGCAAGTGAAGGATGAGTGCAATTAGTTATTCTGACACTCGAGTCACGTATAATTTTTTCCCCCTCCATCAAATCAAGACCAGGCGATTTTCAAAAATACATTTTCAAAAAATAGTGTGTCTTACACCGTCACACAAGAAAATTTCGCCACGATAACGAAAATTCACCAAACAAGTACGAAATTCTCACTAGAAGATCAACACTTCAAAATTTTCGAATGGACACTAATAACTTGAACTATTTCTAGATTACTCCATTTTTATTCGAATCAGAAATCAGCCTCTCGGCGGTTATAACTGACCCAAGTTAACAGTTTTAAAAATTTCAGCATTTTGGTGCTCATCCTTGCATTGAAATCAAAGAGGTCGTTCGCAAATAAAAAATAATAATTGTCCACGGCAGTCAAATGTTGATAACTAGGAAAAACAAATGCAATTCAGAAGATTTTTTATTTTTATTTTTTAAGTGACGAAGCTTTCAGAATATTGACTCATATAAAATTGCAATCCAAATTAGCCTCATCCAACCTCATATAACCTATTTAAACCTTACTGACTTCGCTTCAAGACGTTGAAAATAGCTAAAAAAAAAAATACCAAGTCTTCGTAATCTGTAAATGTTCATCGTTTTGCAGAATTAAATGGGAAAAATTAGCCACGGTTCCCTTCTGCATACAAAAATTTTGGCAAATTTCCGGAGACATCAGATGCATTCGACAACGCGTCACGCGTCTGATCGTATCTTTTGGGTTGCCTCAAAATACAACGCACGCATATTTTTGTAAAATTTGCATAGAAATGCAAAAAAAAAAACAATTAAAAAACAAAGGGACTGACCTCAGTGTGTACCAGATGTCGAAACTCATGACGTTGAGCCAGAGGAAGGCCGAGAGAAACGAGTAGTACATGACGCAAGCTGAACAAAATAAAAAAAATTATAAAAAAAGAACATTCAATTTACTTTCCTCCATCAATGGAAGAATGTTTTCTCCCAAAAAATTCTGTTCCGCACTTGGAATTCAATTTCAAAATTCTCTCTATTCCATCTAAAATCCCACTACTGTACCTTTCTACTTCCGTCGGAATGAAAAAGGGGGGAAAATGGAATACAAAATGAGCGCTTACAAATTCCATCCAGAAGCTGAACTGGAAATAATTTCGAAACCATTTCAAAATAAATTTCCTTCTGGTTCATGGAGATGCACGCATACACAACTATCTTCTGCATATTCGCTGTCGTTTCTGCGCAGAATTGCACATATTTTTTTTTTTGAATAATGATGAATGTAGCTTATTCCTTCGAGAAGAAACCATGCAGCGTTTATTTTTATTTTCAGTAAATAAAAAAATAAGCCTGACGTTTACGGAAAATACATTTTAACTAAAAACTAAGGGCTTCACAGAATGAAATACGAAAGCAGAGCAATAGTGAAATGCACCCAAACGCATTTTTGCTCGCTATTTTGCAATCCCTCCCATTTGACTCGGTTGCTTGTTCCCCCTTTTTTTACTGCTTCTATTACAAGGTTCTTGAAAAATGCCCTGGAAACACTTTTTGGCCACAGTATAACACAAGGTGATTCAAGCACGAAAAAAAGGACGTGAATATCTAGCAGAATTCGAAGATTGAACAAAAATTTTTGTATAACAATTATTTTTGGGAGCGAAAAACTCGTTCCGACGATACCAATATTTTTTTGCAAGTTTTACGCATTGTCTCACCTTCCGTTGAAACAAACTTTAACATTCATAAGTTCATCATTATTTGAAAATGGTCTCTTTCTTAAAACGATTTTCTTTGTTCAACGAATTTTTCGACCCCTTGAATCTAGGCGAACTCCAAAAAAATCGTTATACACTGAAAGTTGTTATAGAAAGGGAATATTTTCCGAAAGACGACCAATTGACAATAAAACTCGCATTTACGGAAGGTGGGGCAATGTGTAAAAATTGTGGAAAAATATTGGCAGAATTTGTGTGGTCATCCCCTGAATTTACAGTATAGAATTTTTAGGGCATGCGTAAAGAATCCCTTCCCCCTCCTTAAAAATTCGCAATAGAGAAATTAGTCAGGGGCCAGAAAAAATTCGTTGTAGAGAGATCACCTTAACTTTCTGCGGATGCATTGTACAGGAGGAGTCCATATACACAACAATATACAAGGGATCAGAAAAAAATCGTTGTAGAGAAAATTTTTTCGGCGCACCGAATCCCTAAAAAAAAAAAAGGACAGAGAACCCTACGAAACCAAAGAAAAATTCGTTATACTGTACAGAGAAAATCGCTGTAGAGAGAGAGAGAGTCCACCTGCATTATAGAGAGTAAGTGAATAATCCCTCTCACAATCAGGGATCATCGACAAGTTCGTACTAAATTCTTCTGTAATCGCATCCCCAAAAAATCACTCAAAGAATAATAAAAGAAGTTTCTTTCTCTCTCCCTCGTTTATTCCTTTTTGTTGTTGTTGTTATTGTCGTCGTCGTTGAGCATGTGTCATTCCAGCAAGTGTTTCTTCATCATCATCATCATCAGCTCAACACGAAACGACTCACCGACAACCACACAGGCCACTTCATCCTCCAGAGATCCCCCGATCTGCAACCAGGTCAACAGGGAAATCGCCACCAAGAGACACGCCACGTGACTCAGCAGCGTCCAGGTCGCCACTCGGCCGCCATCGGGCAACAAAAACCCCAGCACCAGGGTCAGTGCCAGAAACCCCGCCGACACGACCAGGAACACAGAGTACACGAAATGCACTCCGTTCTCTTCTTCGGGAAAGCAAAGCACTGCGATTTCCACAGCTGACCCATTCCTGGAACGCAGGATCGTGTCGACGCAGTACTGGGGTGCCGGGAAGACCATGGAGTACAGGGACGAGTGCAACGACGAGGACGAGGCGAGGAGGAAGAAGGTTTCGTTCGGGTTCCGACTCGGGATCTGGTCCAGACCGGGTACTGCGCCGCCGGGGCAGACAGGCGTGAAGCCGTCCAGGATTTTTATCTCCGTCTCACTGACCGGCACCTGTTGCACAAAAGAGCAAGGCAGGAATTGAAAAATAAAATAAAAACCGAGACTATAATAAAAATAAAAAGAGCTTCGGAATACTGTATATGGGTCAAAGAGAGAATGAAATCTGATCCCACGTCTCTGGGATTTGAATCAGCAGATCCGAAAAAAAAATTTTAAAATCAGAAAATAAATAACAGAACAAACCACATGCAAAATTCTCATCAAAAGTCGTTTTTTTTCTTTATCACTGGTGTCGGAGATCCCGACAAAGAAATACTTTTGGAAATGCACATTAGGACGTTTCCTGCAGAGACTATAGGTCTCCACGAACGTATGAAATTTGCCAATCTCAATTGTTATATGATTCAAATTTTTCACTTTTCAGGAATACGATGAATATCTCCGGACTCTAGCGATTTTCAAGAAAACTTCATGCTTTTCTTTGGTGTTCCGTGGACACACATTTTTTTCCCTTGTGGTCTGGTTTTCTTATCAGGTTCGTATCAAGTTTTTCATGAGGTTTGAGTTTTGGATTATTCGATTTTGCGTGTTCATTGCAATTCTTCCTCTTCGTGTTCATCGGGCGACCTCTAGCGGTCCCCGACAAATGGCTCATGCATGAAAAAAGTACTGTATATTACAGGGCAAAAATTGAAGAAAAAAAGTAAGATTCAAATCTTTATATTGTATTAGTTCCTGAAAAATAAATTTTAAACTAACACACTGTATTTTCCTTTCAATATGCCCCGGCTGATGAAACTGATGTAATAAAAACCATCGAAATATGATGGGTTAAAGAGATAACTAAATCTGATTCTCCAAATCTGGGATTTGAATCAGTTCGTCCGCAAAAATCGTAGTCAAAAAATAAATAACAGCACGAACCACATGCAACATCTCTCACCAGAAGTCATTTTTTCATAAAAGACTCACGCATGGAAAACGTTAGGAATTTTACAGAAAGAAAAATTGAAAAATAAAATTAAAATTTGAATCAGTATGTTAGTTCTTTAAAATTAGTTTAAATAATAACTACTGTACAGTATTTTCATTTTGATGTGCACCTGATAACCAAAAATATTCAATAAAAATATTGAAATATGGATCAAAGGGATAATTAAATCTGATTCCACATCTGGGATTCGAATAAGAATGTCCGGGAAAAAATATCGTCAGAAAATAAATGATAACAAGAAGCACATGCAATATTTTCTGCGTTGAAAAATTCATGTAGAAAATCTTAACTGGAGAGACGCCGACTAAAAAGTAATAATACGATTCAAATCAATTTTTCAGTTCATAAAAAAATATTTTTTCAACGACTTACCTCCTGACAGACAGTCCGTAATGCATGGCTCAAAGAGAGAGAGCATTTTACATTAAAGTCTGCGCTTTGAATTTAAATGTTCGAAAATAATCATATTCCAAAAATTAATATCACCAATAAGAGCCACAAAAGAGAACTTTAGTTCTGACCTCTTGTCATAAGAGCATGTTTTTTTTCATGAACAGTTCATGTGAGAAAATTCAATTGAAATTAATAAGAATTTAAAAACTACGATTCAAATTTGTATAGTTACATTCACGTAAAAATCCCTTTTTTCCAAGACTTTCCTTCTGACCGCAACCTGGCAAGAAATGTAAAACCATTCGATAAAAAAAGGGCGCACTGAAATATGGGTCAACGCGAGGATGAAATTTGAATTTGCCCCAGGCCTTTGAATCATAATTTTTCTGATTGAAAAAAAAAAACAACCGCAAAGATCCACTACACGCAACAAAACCAGGTTTGGTATTAAAGTCCCTTCATTTGCGGGCGGATTTTTCAAATAAACCCGAGCCGTATTTCATCCGGAAGATTCATTTTTGCAACTATTATCTCTCTGACAGGCAACTGAAATGAAATGAGAACGAGATGACGGAAAAATTGCATTAGGATATGGGCCAACCAGAGGATAAATTACGATCCCATTCCCGGGCTTGGAATCATAAAGTTATAAACTTCTTTTTGGAGATGGCAAAAAAATTTAGCGTAACTAAATTTCTGCCGTTTGAGAACGAGTTCTCAACAAAAATTTTTTGTGAAATAATGCACTGAATCCAAACAGACGGGAGTTGACCTGAAACGTAATAAAATAAAGTCGTAATTCATTGCCGGAAAATAATTCAAACAAATATGTTAGCTGATAATTTGCATCGGCATTTGGGTCAATCATAAATTTTAAAAAAGGTTACGGGTATTTTCGACGAGAAAAAAAAAACCGCAACTAGGTTCCAGGTGGAATATTCAAAATTGCCAGTGATATAATTTTACGAAAAATCCCCTTCTTCGCAATACGAAAAATACTGTATTCCCAAATATTTCGAGAATGAATATTGTACTTGGATTCACAACAATGCCTTGAAAACCACTTTCCAGAAAACCTCGAAAGTATAATGAAAATAACGAAATGAAAATTACGATCATGATAAAATGTTTCATGGAAAAATTATCGGGTACTTGTCATACTTGAGACAGAAATTGATGGTCCGATCTTCAAATAAATTCACTAGACTTTCAAATTTTGCTCAAACGGATTTAAACATAAATTAACATACAGTATTGTTGTTTTCAAAATTTACAGAACAATTTAGGATCAATGAAATTAGGAAAATACTAGGACATGCGTTTTACGCGGGGAATGATTTTCGTACTAATATATGTATCGAACTCTGTACCTACAGCAACACAGGCATCAGTATATTAAATTTTATCAATGCAGTATTACATAAGCCAAATGCATAAAGTATTGTAGTACAAGTACAGACCTGTGTGTACAAGAACAACCTTTGCAGAAATTATTCACTCAAAAAACACTTCAAAAATATTCACTCAAAGAGTGAATTCTATGATTCAGTAAAAAGCAAATTGCTTCCTCATTTTCTCTATTCTAACTTTGGACATTTGAGTGAGATAATCAATCATTCAAGCATACAGTACAGGAAAATAAAAACAATCCAATATTATACCGAAAGAAAATGCTCAAAGCATCAGACGCACATCTTTCATTCACTATTTTTTTTTTTTTTGCTGTTGTGCAATGCAATTTTCTGATGGATTTTTGTGATTTTCATGCATTTTTAGATTCTGGATTTGGCCGAGAAAACTTGCGTGGATCCTGGAACCGAGGTCCCGCCTTTGCCAATTACGCGTTGGGCTGACGGCACTAGACTCGAATCAGCAGGCGTCTCATTCCCCCTACTGTGTGACCTTTGGAAAAGGCCTGAGACAAGGGTTAACAATGGGCACGGCCCGTTGTGGTCGCTGAACGCCTAGGACCTGTGCTGCGTAAATATGAGCGGGCTCCTGGCTGTTCAGAACTTTTCTTTAGAATACTGCGCCGACTGGTCTATTTTTAACGGGACTCGCCACTTGTCAGCCATTGTTTGTGTGGAAGAGACTCTCGGTGACGGACCCGAGTCTTCCAAGGAGCGATTCGAGGCCGAGTGTTCTTCGGGACAGGGGTTGTGTGTGATGAAGTGTTGCGGACAAGGACAGGCCATGGTTGTGGATGAGAAAGGATTGACGAATTGTGAACCCGTGGCCGAGGAGATGCTCTGGAAGCCCGTGTTTCATGCCCCGGTTGGACACGGTTTTCGACAGGTTCGTTCCTAACTCGCATTATTCCTGTTCCTTTTTTTTTTTTTATTCTGGCCTTTTTTGTTGTAGTTATATTTTTTGACGGTACTGTATGTGAAGAAGTTTTCGATGTTGGGCTGTCATTTTAGGAAGAGAATCGAATTTTATGTACCGTATTCTCTGGATGACTATAATTACTGTACTACTGTAAAGTTAGCGATGTTTTTTATAGCAATATTCGAACACTCATCGGCCTCGAATCGTCTTTTGAGTTTTGAGCGTGGAAAATATTTATTTGATTACTTTACCATATCTCCTTTTTCCTGGTTTTCATTTTGTATTAGTGTTTTGAAAATTGGCGACGATTATTTCGGGGGAGGGTACATTTAAAAAGTACGTTTCATACCTGGAGATGTTTAATTCGATAATTCGAGAGGTTGGAATGTACTGTATATCAAATTTCATTGCCAGGTTTGACGCGGTTTTCGAAAGTTGTTCGTTCGCAATTTCGTTTTTTTTTATTTTTATTCTGGCTATTTTATATACTGTATTTTTATTTTTTACGATTGCCGCACATTTCGAAAACATTGGCACTTGAGTGTACTTTACTATACTCATAATGCGTCGACCCCAATTTCGTTGCTTGTTTTGTTGCTCTGTTGGCAGCATGAAATTTTGAATTTGTTAACGGGAAACAAAGTCTGTTCTCCTTTACAAAAATAATAAGGCTGGGGTATATTTCGAACTGCGTTTCTCCAGCGAAGGTCTTCGTCTCCCATTTTCCATTGGGAAGGTTCGGACGGAGAAGAGAGAAAAAAAATAATAATCCTACCCCTTTCCACGTGTTATGTAGAGAACCAAGGGTTATTTTTCCTTCATCTATTATTTCTATTTTCGTTTTTCTATTCTTTTTGTCCCTCTCGCCAATTATTTCGCGAGTAAAAAACGCAAATAGGGAGAGGAATCGGGGAAGACAAAAATGGGATGATAACTTTTAGTACAGTACGCTGGAGCCGTGTTTGCTTCATCAAATTATCATTTAAAACTGATCAATTCGATCCACTTTGAGTAAATTTTGCACTGATATTTTTCATATTGTTTGCTTTTTAAGATGGGGTGAGTTGATGCAGGTTTCGATTTTTTTTTTCTTGTTGGAATTCTCAAGCTTTGAGGAAATATTTTTTAAGGTTAAAACTGGTACTAGGGTGATCGCCCCGGCCAACAGATCTCCCCGATATCCCCTGCCCCTATTGAATTCATTGTCCCTGTGGGGTTGACCCTTTCACACTCATTGTGACTGTTTTTGGCAGGTCAGGGAATATCCTTTTTTTCCTGAGTTGAAAAGAAAGTCCCTTTCTTTGAAGATTAAGTCAAATGAAAATACCCTCTTGTAAAACTTTTCAAAAATTTTAAAAGTCTAAAAACTTAATGAGATATCCATGCAGAAAACTCTACAAAATGATACCAAACATGAAGGATTTCAAAACTCCTTCATGTTTAGTCAGTTTACACAGTGTTGCACAAATTATACAGCAGAGAATTATGCACTCCTTTACATAATAAGCCATGACACATTGTGCAAAAATGCAGAAGCAGGATAAATTCCCGCAGGAGAAAATAACCCTATATTTTTTATTATGACAGATAGGTGTAAAAGGAGTTTTTTTGTGTGCATGCATTCGTGTGTGAAAATTTGTTTCATTTAACTGATCTACTCATAGCTTTTTGAAATCCCTTACGCACCCAAATTGCGGGATCATTAAGAAAGTAAATTGACCTAGTTGATATATTCTGTGTATTGAAAATATAATTTGACCCAGAACCCGAAAAATGGCCTTAATAAAGAATGTTGAACTATTTGGAAGTAAAGTGAGCCTTTTCCCAAAAATGTGTGACAGCATTGTGACCAATTATACAAATCACAAACCAATGTCTCCAAATATGAAAACAAAATTTATTATCGTCAGTCGATTCCGAGCAGGGAATGATTTCCGAGTAGTTTTTTTTTTCTTCTGGCAATTCAATTTTGAACCGAATTCCATTTGACTGCCGGAAATTTGTTTACGAAGAGAAGAACTTGTTCAAGTCCTGCAGAAGAATAACTCCAATCATATTTCATCGGTAGTTGATTTTTTTTTTCCTGGCTGAACTTCTGGGCCAACCCTGGAGTATCTCAGTTGCCCCCGGAAAGTCACGTACTCCATCCGTAATATCCCGAGACCCGTTTTATACAAGTATTGTAAGTTTCTTTGTGAGTAATGCCTATTCCAACCTTGAG